CAGATGTTTTCAGGCTTTCTCCTAAGGTCTGGATCCATCCAGGAACAATTTTGGCCTCGGGAATTTTGGGGTTGGCCTGGCCTGGGAGCCTGGCCCAGGAAAGATGCTTGTATAGGGCAGCTGGTGGCTGTGCCACCCAGAGATGCAAAGGCAGATGGGTCGGGAAGAGGCCCCAAGGACTCCTGGGGACTGCACTGAAGAGTTTTGTTGGTCTGTATGCAAAGGATCAGGAAGAGGAAAGGTCAACCCCAGCATCCCAGAAAGAGGCTGGTGGGTGGTGCAGGTCCAGGGAAGCAAAGGGAGTTGAAGACGGGGCCAGGCCCAGAAACAGTGCTCCTGGGGCCCAGAGAAGGCACTACCTTGGTCTGGATGAAAAGGATCAGGGAGCAGTATTGGTTCCCCAGGTGCCTGGGGCCCCAAGACAAGGAATGGGGCAGGGCCCAAACTGGGAGGAGAGAATGGCGGTGGAAATGGGAGGGTGAATTAGGCTGGGGGAGTCAAGTCAGGGAGGGTGCAATGGACTTACTCCAGAGAGAGGCCTGCAGGTAGGAGAGAGGCCTGAGGTGGGTCCTGTAGGCCCAGGGAAGCAGAGCTCAATTAACATTTTTTAAATAAATAATTTATTGAGAATTTCATACATATATATATAAGGTGTTTTGACCAAAACCATGCCCACTCCATCCCCTCCATCTCTTCCCATATCTCCCATGGTAGTCCCTGATCCTGAGAGTGAATAATGTATGTATGTCCTGTTTGGGACTGAGCACTGAAAAGTCACTTAGTCTCAGCAGCCATGAGTCTGTGTCATCACAGTTCACCAAGAAGAGAAACCTCTCTGATTAAGGCTGAGAGAAACATTTGTCTATGGATGCAAACATAAACATTTAAAGAGTAGTTTGTCAGCATGTCAGTTTATCCAATCTACAGTAGTAGTTCTCTTCTGGGGCCTAGGATTTCCCCAGTCATGGATTTTTGATTAGGTTTACAATACCACATATGTGTTCCCTCCTGTTAATTGGCCCTAAAATCCAACTGGAGAACTGTATGTTACCTCCATGACTACCATGACACTACTACATTAGTGGGCACATCAGGCATTGGCATTGTAATCCAGAAGGTCCAGAGCTGGGCAAGACCATTGATGTTCTTTTCCACCAGTGGCCTGCATAACCTCTTCCCATCCCCAATACTGTATGAATAATGACAATCTCAACTGGATTTAAAGATGATGAAAACTGAATGCAATTCAACTGCTAATAATGAATGATACCAGGAGATACCAACAGATGATAACTATTCATTAGTACCAAAGGACCCTTGAGCAAAAAGAGATAAAAATTTGTGCAAAACAGACAATTGGATATTAGAAAATAATGCTGAGTGCCACATCCAAAGACAAATCTATTTTAAAAATAAAACAATGAAATCTTTTTGTGTTAGAAGAATTAACTGTGGCAAGGATCAATTTCACAATGATATTTGTTTTAATTTAGTTTTACATTCTTGACACAGAAACTTTTAACATTATTTTATATATACTTAAAGAAAAATCAGGCTTTATAAATATTATAAAGTTTACACTATAAAATATAATCAGCTTAAAGTCACTTATATATACTTAAAGAAAAATCAGGCTTTATAAATATTATAAAGTTTACACTATAAAATATAATCAGCTTAAAGTCACCTCTACCTGCTTGCTCCCCAAAGCTGCATAATGGAAGCACCTGCATAATGGAGTTGTGAGCAGCACCACCACCTCTTCTCCAAGGTGGACCAGATGAGGTTGTCCATGCAGAATACATAGAATGGTTCTTTCTTATTGCTGTTACAAAATGATACAAGCAGAGAAAAATGGATATTTGCTTTCAGTCATTGGAACTACTAAAACAAAAACTCTTTTGGAATATGTAAATTTTAAAGAAAGAACTTAATATCCAAATTTTTAATATTGATTAATAAAATACCTAAGTTGCTCAGATGTTAAATAACCGTGTTATGCATTTATTTTAATTGACACTGTTCTTTAAACAGGAATAACTATTCATGGGCAAGGAAAACCAAACCTCTGTGACAGAATTCATCCTCCTGGGCCTCTCACAGGACCCAAACACCCAAGTCCAGCTCTTCCTTCTCTTTCTCCTCATCTACCTGCTGACGGTGCTGGGAAATCTGCTCATAATCCTGCTCATTCACATGGACCCCAGACTCCACACTCCCATGTACTTTTTTCTTAGAAATCTGTCCTTTGCTGATCTCTGTTTTTCTACAACTACAGTACCCCAAGTGCTTGTCCACTTCCTGGTGAAGAAGAAGACCATTTCTTTTGCTGGGTGCGCAATGCAGTTAGTTGTTTTAATTCTGATTGGGGGAACAGAGTGTGCCCTTCTGGCAGTCATGTCCTATGATCGGTATGTGGCTGTCTGCAAGCCTCTGCATTACTCCACCATCATGACACACTGGGTGTGTGTCCAGTTGGTTGCTGGATCCTGGGCCAGTGGTGCATTTGTGTCCCTGTTGGATGCCACATTCACGCTACATCTTCCTTATGAAGGAAACAATATCATTAACCATTTTTTCTGTGAACCTCCTGCTCTCCTGAAGGTGGCCTCAGCAGACACGTACAGCACAGAAATGGCCATCTTTGCAATGGGCGTCGTTTTCCTCCTGGCACCTGTTTTCCTCATCTTCATTTCCTACTGGAACATCATCTCCACTGTGATCCGGATGCAGTCTGCAGAGGGGAGGGTCAAGGCCTTCTCCACCTGTGGTTCCCATCTCATTGTCATTGGTCTCTTCTATGGCTCTGCAATATTTGCTTACATGAGGCCAAACTCCAAGATAATGAATGAAAGGGACAAAATGATTTCAGTGTTCTACTCAGCAGTGACCCCCATGCTGAACCCTTATGTATACAGTCTGAGGAACAAAGATGTCAAAGGGGCGCTCAAAAGGATCATTTCAAAATAATATATTTCATGTGATATTGTGATGGTGATGACCATTGTTGGACTAGAATGAGCTTTTCTTGTACTCATTGTCTACTTTCACCCATTCCTCCACTTCTTTTCATTCTATTTGCCTATCTTTTTCTCTGATCCAATTAATTTTCCTTTGTAGACGTGTAAAATAAAATAAGTAAGAAAGGGAAGGGAAAAAGAAATTAGCAGAGAGAGGAAGGATGTAGAGGAAAGACGTGGAAAGGAGAAAGGAAGGGAGAGAGGAGGAGGAAACAACAGGAAAGCAGTCACTTTTCTATTAATTCATACAAAATAAGTAAGGAAATTTGCATAGGTTTTCATTTGACTATATGTCATAAAACAAGGAAAGAACCAATAAACTATCAAAATAAGGGAATAGATATCAATGGCAAGACAGTCACTTCATGCTTGCATGTATTCAGGATTTATATTTTGAAGGTATATCTTCTGGGTGCATTTATGGAATTTTTAAATAGACATGAAAATTGATGCTACATTTTTAACATACCCTGTACTCCCATAATCAATTCTTGAAATTAAAAATAGGGTAAATTATAACAATAAGTAACCAAAGATAGCATTTTTAATTTTTAATTTTTTTTATTTTCTTAAATTTTCATGCAGGCATATGATAATTGAGAATATGTCTACTAAAACACCCCTACCCTAATATTTTGCCTCTCCCTCTTCCTCTTTACCCTTTTGTTCTCCCAAACAATATCATGACCATTTTTCCATATACGTGCATTATCTTATGTAATTATAAAATCTGAGAATAACAAAAACATATGGAACTTGTTTTTTGAGACTGGTTTAATTTTCTCAATATAGTTGCTTCCATTTGCATCCATTTTCCTGCAAATTCTATAACTTCCTTCTTCTTTATGACTGAGAACATTCAATTGTATTTTTCCATATTTTTTCCATTCCCTTGTTTTTGATCACTGAGTGTGGCTTCACAACTTAGCTATTATTAATAGTGCTGGAATAAATATTGATGCATAATTTTCTCAATACTGTGTTTGCTTGCAGCTCATCAGGTGAATTCCCATGCATTTGTTTGAAAGTCATTTAAGTCTGTAATTATGTAATGCATATTCTGTGCTCATAGTTTTTACCAAGATCAATAATTACTAAAATGACAGGTTAAACAGCTTATGAATCTAAAATGCATGAGGGCACGTGAGAAATCTTTCATGAAAGCTTTTCTACTGGCCACTTCAGGCACACTTTTACTTACGTTTCCTATGGCTCTTGCTGATGTTACTGCCCATGCATCCTCTTGAATCATTAGCAAAATCCTGTGTTCTTTTCTGTATTCTTCCTTGCTAGCCTTCAAGGATCAGCCAGGACTGAATTGCAGAATTCCATTAGAATATTGTTATTGTTTTAATTTGCTTTTATCTTTTTAATGTTTTAGATTTTTCAAAAATTTATTGTGCTTTTGTATATCTCATACAACAGTTCTTAATCAAATTCAGACCTTTCCCCCATCCATGCCACCTCACCAGACCTCATGTATCTCACCATACAAGTTAAGTTCTATCCAGTCAAACATTTGGACTCAAATGTCTTTTGGTACAAATTCATCCACATAAAGCTTTTTATTATTTGTTCATTTTTACCGAATTTTTGTGTATTTCATACAGATCATCTTTATAACCCCTTCCCCACTGGCACCCTCCCTTGGTCCCCCCACTGGATTTCAAGCATTTTATCATTTATGTTAAGCCTGATCAAGTCAAATTAGTGTTAAATATGTAGTATGTGTGGACATTGTGGATCCTTCTCTATTTTATCCCTTTCCCTGCCTCCTTTGATTATCTAATTCGTTTACTACGTCCACATTTGCCCCTAAAAGATTCTTAACTTTGTAGAACAGTGTTAGGATTGTCGTTTTCTGTCTTGTGATCATTGGTAATGTTATTCCTGCCATGACTGATTTTAAGTAAGTACATTCCTGTATCTTGTATGGTTTGGTGTTTCTGCTATTACAATAGGATGCTGTCTCCTCTCTGTGGTGTGCTGAAGAATGATCTCTCAAGGATATGCACTAAACAGGCCCCCAAATGAAACTGGAAAAGATTTCTAAACCAGTATTCATCATAGGTAGAACGATGGATGAAGATCTCAAAAGTTCACTTGTAAAAATGATCAGTGATCTGAAAGAGGGTAAAAACAATCACACAAATGAGGTAAGCAGATCAGTCCAGTATCTGAAGAGAAAATCCAGTGACAGAGAAAAACATTAGTGAAATGTAGGTGGAAAGCAATGATGTGCACTAAAATATCAACAATATGGAAGGAAAAAATTAACAAGGAAATTGAGATCTTAAAAACAAAAATAAGAATGCTGGAAATGAAAAAATGAAATGACCCAAATAGAAAACATAGTGGAAGCTTGACCAAGAGACTCGATTTAGGCAAAGAAGAAATACCAGGTATGGGGACTGATGTCAATAAACACTATATTCAGATATCAATGTAGAAAAAGAAATAAATCACCGTGACTAAGTCTAAGAAAACTGGGACACAAAGAAAAAACCTTACAATTTTCTGATCAGAAGAAGCAGAAATAATAGCAGAATTTTTCCTAAATCTAGGGAAAGAAATGAACATTCAAATATCAAAGGCATTGAGAATCCCAAAGAGATGTGACCAAGGAAGAATCTCTTGGCATTGTGTTAGAATCAATACATGAAAAAGTATCAAGCAGGAGAGCACAGAAAGAATAGATTTCCAGAGAGGAATCAATGATCAAAAGAAAGACACAAGAAGGAAGGAAGTCCAAACAGTCACCAGGCAATGCCTAATATCTGTAATGGAGGAAGAAAAAAATATCAATAATCCAGCCAGCCAGAAAACACACTAATAACATTACAGGAATTAGCAAACATCTCTAAAAAATAACCTTAAATCCAAATGTATTTGACTCATCAATAAAATGATGCTGACAAGCTTTAAAGTATTTGACTCATCAATAAAATGATGCTGACAAGCTTTAAATAAAAAAAAAAAAAGCCAACCTCATCTTACTTCCAAGAAACGAACTTATTGACAAAGACACTCATGAACTGGGAATTAAAGGATGGGAGGTAATTTATCAAGCAAAAGTAAATTAAAAACAAGTTGAGGATGGCTGCAGCGCAGAGCGGGGAAGAATGCAGAAGTAGAGGTGCTCAAATCTGGGCTACACCTACCAGCAAGGAGGGGATGAGTCCCTAATCCTAGGTCTTGGTCCTTCCTTTCAATGTCTATCCCTTTGCTCTGGTTGAACAAGTGTGGGCCAGGAGCCCAAGCCAGAGGCCGACTCCATAAGATGCCTTCTGAGCTAGAAAACCCCAATGAAGCCCTTGCTTGGGTGACATGTTTTTCTGGCCTGTGGCCTCTGCAACGCCTGAGGCACAACATGGATAGACTTTCCAGGGCAGGTGGCAGCCCAGTACTGGGTGTGGGTACCAGGAATGTGCTTCATTTTGTCGAGGTGACTCCAGGATGGAAGGCACTACTGCAGTGAGTCCACCATGCAGCCACCCTCAGGACTGTGATTCAACGTGGCGTCCACAGTGGCCGCCAAGCCTATGGCCCTGCTGCCTGGCCACACTGGAACAGACAGAGAAAGAGATGAGGCCGCACCAGCCCAGCAGTTGTGGTGCCTGGAGCCAGCATGCACAGAGGAGCCTGAGCGCTGGAGCGCAAATGGACTGAAGGTGCAGACTGCCAGGGCCTCCATCGATGCTCTGTCCTTGAAGATGGTGGGAAGATGGGAAGGAGAGCAAGAGGAAGGAAGGACAAGGTGCAGCCTCTTCACCCTGCCCTCTTTGCTCAGGCAGCCCAGGTGACCAGGCCCATGGGCAGCGGCCAGCAGTGAGGACTTCCCCTGCAGCAGGGAGGGAAGGGAACAGACCATGACTATGATGCTCTAGTTCGCAGTCCCCCGCATCCCAAGCCAGCAACAGATTCCCTAGGGCTCTTGCCCTGGAGCCCTCCCCGGTGACTGGTCTGGCTACGGCAGCCCAGAGCACTGTACTTTCTGCAGTTGCTAGCGCAAGGTTGTAAGGAAGACACCGAAGCCCTGGCCAGCTCAATGGCTTCAGCAATGGTAGCATACTACCCAGCGGCTCATCAATACCCTTGGAAGGCCCACTATCAAGGCAACTTCTTTAGCTGGCTGGGGCTATTTTGCCAGCTGTGTTAGAAGCTAGTGTCAGTCTACCATGAAGACAAAGCAGGTGGTTCACCTGCTGTTGCTGTCTAGCTGTGTGTGGCCCCCTGTGCTCAGAGGACTTCCCTCTGGTAGCACAAATGCTGAATCCACTTACCACTGTAGTCTGTGCAGACAGCCTCTAGTCCCTGTTCAGCCAGCCCTTGGTGCAGGCTGTGACCACACTCACCGGCTTTGCCCCCAAGTGGCAATAGCTAAGAAATGAACCAGCTTAGATGTCAATCAACAGGTGACTAGATAAAATCAAGTACATATACATAATGGAATTTTATTCAGCTATAAAAATAATGCTACCATGATGATGTGCAGGAAAAATGGATGGAATAGAAATAATTTTATCAAGCAAAATAATGTAACTCTGAAAGACAAATATGTAGTGTTTTCCCTCTTATGCTTAATCTAGATTTAAATGTGTGTTTGTGTATGTGTGTGTGTGTGTGTGTTTATGTATACAACATGAAAGTACAAAGTAGGACATGAGAGCAGAAGAAGAGGAATGGGGATTCAAGAAAATGCGATAGAATAAATATGTAATGAAACAGAAAGAGGAAACTACTTGGGAGGAGAAAGGGAAACATCAAGAGCACAAGAGGGATATGGGAAGCAGTGGGAGCCTGAGAATGACAAATGTCTTTATATGCATTCATATATACATATATGCATTCATATATATTCATATATCACAAACATTATTTTTATGCTAACCAAAAATCAATTTTAAAAGAACTACATAGAGATTATATGCTCAGGTGCGAATTTCTGAA